GCTTAACCAAAGTCTTCATTGAAACTGCTAGTAAATGAAGGAATAACTTGTACGAGCAGTCCCGAAATCCCACACAAAAGACACACAAGCAAATTCCAATCATCTGTCCTCAACTAAATGCCAGGGCTCTTTTGCAAAGTCATGTTATTAGCAGACTGCAGATCTGTGGCGTGTGCATGGCCCGCTGGCACGCCAACTTCCACTACAGCCTTGGGCTGAACCTGGATCAGCAGGCTGAAGCGTATAATTTAAGAGCCTAGCATCTGCCAACACAGCACGTCATGCAGCATTTACGGTCACGTCGCACAAATAAACACAGGTGCTGCCCACGTGGGATTCAGGCGCATTACCTTGTCAGTCTGCAGGAGGCATGTCTAGCCCATTCGGCACAGAGTTCACAGAAGTGCAATGGTGTCCAACATGAAATTAGAGGAGAACAGGGTAGTTAAACCCTGGATCAAATGGGCTAAGCGTTCATTTTTAGAGGTTTTAACTGTTTAATCTGTCTAAACTTACTGTTTAACCAAACATTTAGAAAAAGTTCAAAAGAAAGTTCAGCATTTATTTTGAATCCAAGTATTTTGGATCAGTCTTTTCCTGTCACTTTTGATCATTTTTTAATGCTTTTTTGTGTAATAAAAGTATCAGTGTCTTTCAAAAAAAAGAAAATCGTACTCACCCCAAACATTTGAACAACATTCTGTGGATCCCTGTTTGAAACACCCAATTAGATCGGGTTAGCCAAAAATATTGAATTAACACAAAATAAAGAGGAACTTTACGATGTCCACTTAAATTCTGTGGGCACATGCGGGGCTATTGACTTCTTTTGAAAGAATGAAATATTAAAAAGTGCCATTTTGGTGTATATTTTTTGGTATACATTTTGGTGTGTTTTTTTTTTATATACGGCTGTCAAACTTAACTGCATATGTGTTCTTGACAAATATTTCTTGAAAAAAAGCTCTTTCAAATAAAATGCATTTAACTAAAAATGTTTCTCTTTGGGTTCGTACATATAACATCACTCTAACAGTGGGTAGATAAAAATACACTACAAAGTCGATTTTTCCATTATATATGGATCTTTACATGAAAACATACTGTATATTTTATCAAGGGAATCCCTTTACAAGGGGATTATTATATTGGTGGTCCTTGGCATCAAAATGTTTGGGAAAAACCCTACTTTTAGCCATCGATAAGAGTTGTACTTTCAGGTTTAACTCTAGTGTTCAGTTCCATTTCATTGAATCTTAAAGATCTTAAAGAGAAAAAAAAAGTCCACAGATTCCTTCTGGGCCCAGATTAGAACAATCGCTCTGCGTGGGACGATTGAAACCCACTGGCCAATCTATAATTGAAACAGACTGAAAAATATATAGAATATGACTCAAGGTGTTATTTTCTGAATGCAGGCTTATACTGTCCATGAGCACACAGTGAATTAGAGGACAAAGTAATACAGTGTTGTTGAGATCCAGACAGTGAGGTAAACAAACACAGTCTTGTGATGCAGCTTGATGGAAAATTTAAGTGTTTGAGACAGGACAGTAGACTCAACAACATAAACCCACAAATGACACCTATTTTTATGTCTGGAGTTAAACAGGAAACAGAAGGTAGGCTGATTTGAGAGCTCACGCGTTGCTCTCGCCTGTCCAAATGGCACCATTAAGGTTAATGAGCCTGACACCTCCGTCACTGCTTTTAGAGCAGGGCGGAAAATATAAGCCCTGCACGGCCGGATTTATAGTATCTAGTTGCCCATGTCACAGCAATTTAGTAAACTTGATTCTTTTTATAGAAAACCACAATAGTGGTCTCAGACACTGTGATCTCAATACCTCTATTCCTACTAATAATTACAGAACAACATGTTTACAGTATATGATAGATTTTAATACGCCACAGGCAGCTATACCTTGTCATACAGTGCTACTTTTGTGGTTTTTCACTGTGCCACTTTAGTAAATGGATTTGCTAGTCAATTTAGCAGTAACACCTTTGTCCGTTTTTGTCAACTGCAATTAATATGGGCAACAGCCAGGATATGATGTCACACAGCTTCTGTTTTTATAAATAATAATTATGAATTTAGGGTTAATTTGGGGTTTCTAAAGTGAAATCTGGAAAGCGGAGTGGTAGATGAGAGACATAATTCTGATACGCATGTAATTTAATGAGAACACATTAGATGGCATATTAATACTCTCACATATATATATACATATATATATATATATATATAATTAAATTGAAAATGTTTATTATGAACTAAGAAGAATCTATATATTTGGGGAACTAACACTTCTGTTGATCAGCCAAGTGGGCAAATTTATCAACTGATTCTGATGATCTTATAAAGGCCAAATATTGGCTGATGAATCGTAGTGATACATTGGTTTAGTAATAATTATAAATAACAACAAATGATAATAGTAATAAAAATCAAATAAAAAATATCTCAATAGTTAGAAGGGTTTCTTAAATCTGAAAGTATTTTTACTGTTGGATACTGCAGCCAGTTGTCACTGTGACTCAGGCGTTCTGGTCTATTTCAAAGCCATAATTGGAAAGAAATTAGTAAATAGAGGAACTCTGATGTTCTGGTCAGCGAATGTGTAATCCTTTGATATGTGTCAAAAGTTTCCACTTTCAAAAGGTCAGGACTCGAGGGAAATGTTAAACTTTCCTTCCTTAAAGTTGAAATGCAGGCTTTGAATTATTGATGAATGCCCTGTGGACACAGTGCTTTGAATTATGCACATCCACATTAAGTCTTTGTTCAAACACACTAACTAGTATTAAATATAATAATGTTGCGGTCCACAGTAGAGCAGAGATGTGGAGAATGCAACCAGAGTGAATGAATGAGGACGTCCTGGAAGACCTTACTGATCTGATGTTTAAGTCCTTGCACCAGACCACAAATGCACGCTCATTTATGATTGTCACCTTACAGTTCAAAGCGAGTTCATTATTGAAAGGTCATATTCTGAATGGCCATTCAAAAAAAAAAAAAAAGCAGCATGTCTCTTGAGTTCCTCCTGAATGGCATTATTAGTTTACAGCTTACGGTATATTTTTTACACATTTGCCATTGTTGCAGCACCTCTCTTCCCGGTCTGTCAGTAACACTCTGGGCTGTTTCCCAAAAGCATCGTAAGCCTAAGTTGATCGTAGAACAATTGCCACCAATGGTGTCTAAGATCAACATAGGCTTACTATGCTTTTGGGAAACGTAGCCCTGTTTAGTTCCGGTCTCTGTGAAGCCCCTCCTTCTGAATAGCACAATGTGCTCTGATTGGTTGGCTGGATCAGTGTGTTGTGATTGGTCAACCGCTTTGAACGTAATTGGGAAATGTCACGGCCCTTACCATAACTGCGACAATACTCAACTAGGTCTCGCCCTCTTTACTTGCGTATGCCTTGGGCGGGAATTATGTGAACGAGGAATTTTATGACGCGTACGTTTGCGGAAGAAAACTCAAGACTACAATCGAGGCGTAACTTTGCAGACATCTTTCATGCTCAAACAGCAACATCACACAATAAAGAAAGTTTAAAAAGTAAGAAACATCTAAGAAGGCATAATAGGTCCTCTTTTAAAAAAAAAAAAAAAACAGCATATTGTCAAGTTGCATGTTTAATTTGGTGAGTAGCTTTGTCTTTTACATCATGTTTTTGCATTTTTTTTTATTTTTTTTTATGCAGAAATATCAACAACAAAAAGTGTGTAATTTCCAATAAATGGAATTGTTTTCTAAAACAATTCCTGAAGACTCCCACACTCTGCTATTGGTTTATTCATCACTCTGAAAATAAAAGGTCATGTGAATTGCATTGTGGGATGCAGTACCCAGCGCAGTGAGATTTTGGTGCTATAATGCATATAGTAAGTCATCTGGGTATTCTATGCATGCGGAAAATTTGCATATGTATACCGGTACCTACTATATGATACTGAAATAGTAGGACTAATTTGGTTATTGGAGAAGTCCAGCATACTCACCAGAGAGAAGCCTGTTGCTTCACTGGAAGATCAGTTATGACAGTTTGAATAAGAATTATGAGATAAAATAAAATAAAAACTGAAACATGCACGGATGAATTGTTTAAACAACATGCATTTAGAAAATAGTTGAGTTTCAGTTTTCATTTAATGCCAACTTTAAGTCTTTCTACTGGTTATTTACATGCTTACAAAAATTATTCATGAGTTAATACAAATATTAAAAAAATTATCATATTAATAATAAAAATATATCTTGTATCTTTTGTGTCAACCATCTAACTGTGCTGAAGTTGGTTGGAATGATTACACATGTCATGAGTTAACAAAATGTAGGAAATATTTTGTAAGATTTGATTTGATCTGTTTTTTTACTCTATAACTAAATCATTCATTTGCCTTTACGTTATTGTCTGTTCAACCAGAGATTGACAGAAAATGAAAAGTGTCACATCCAGTCCCTTCAACTGTCAAAATCCATTAACTTTACATGTGCTAAACTCGAATTTTCATTTTAGAATTCTTCTTGTGCTAACCTGCTATTCCAGGTACACCTGGGAAGTTCAGTGATGTTTAAACAATATCATCACAAGCTGAACCATTGCACTTAGCACAATAATAGCCCAGGGTAATTTAAACACATGATTTGGTGAGTAAATATCGGATATAGCATATCCCATATAACTGGTAAGGCCAAACATCCTCCTGTTTGCATGAATCAACAGCAGTTCCGCAAAGGGAACCACACCTTCAGCTCTGCAGACAGCAGCTGTCATTGATGGCTTCACGTAACAGACTCGCCACGGAGGCGTGAGAGGGGTGTGACAAATCGCCGCAGCTCATTGGCTGGCGCATTTTAACGAACAGCGCTACCGGCCATTCAGAGATCACGCGCAACGCTTCGAACGCATGACGCCATGCGCAGAGGCGGAGCACGAGACGCTGCGCCTTCGGACGTGAGGTATATATTGAGTTAATTACATACCCAGCCACCGTTCTCCTGGATCCAGCCGTGCAGCGGCCCGTTCAGATATTCCGTCATCCAGCCCGCAATGTTATCCACCTGCGCCGTCATCTCCTTGTTCACGCATTCGACACAAACAGTCCCTCCAAACTCGAAAAAAGCGATGATTCTGCCCCAGTTCACGCCGTCCCTGAACAGCTCGTCTATGACCGCGGTGAAGCGCTGATGCGCCGTGATGGACGTGAGATGCAGCTGTTTGGACATCTCCGCAAAGTCCGACTGATATAACCGTTCCAGTTCATCCCCAGCCTCCCGTAGCACCTTGTGAAGAGCGCTGAGCGGGTCGTGACGCGGGCTGGGAGAGACGCCGCTGTCCTCCTCCTGCCTCCCCATCATCAGTCCATTCGAGACACTGTCATCGTGTCCATTCACTTCCCACACGAATCCCTTCTTCCAGAGCTTATGGTGGATGTACTTCGCCACTATACTGCGGTTATCATACACGACCTCCTGTGCCATATCGACCTGTATATATAGCTAAACAACCTGAGAATCAATGTGAGCTTATTAATCCAGGCGCATCTTCATCATGATCTTCATCTTCATAACACCAATGCAATGCAGCAACTGATTTTTAGATAACTGCAAATCCTTCAAACGGTGAACTTACTGCATGTTGCCTCACTTGAGACTGCAAGTTGCAGCACTCGCGCAAATCCTCCTCCAGTGCTTCGGTGTAGAAAAACGCCCACTTTCTGTTCCCAGCAGAAAATTCCAGGCATGTATGAGAGGATTTAAGCATCTTCCTTCATATCAGATAACACAAACATGCCGTATAAGCACGGGTGAGAAAGTCTCTGGTGTTTTGAGTGGGAATTGCGTGCAGTAAGTCATGGTTTATTCGTGTAAAAGAGTCCAGAGCTGCGGGAGACGGAAGAGGCTGGTCGCCGAGTGTTCACGCGCACTTGTGAGTTTCTTCTCTCGCGGAGCGGCTAGTGTGAAGAAAGACTTTCTCGGTGGTGTCTGCTGTCGAACTGAGTCTTTACATGAAAGGTAAACGGGTAACAGTTGTGTCTCTCTGTATAAGTTGAGCGTTTGGAGGAGTCTGCTGTGCGCAGTCGCTCCATTTGCAGTCAGACTCGACTCTGCCCCTTTATAGCAGAGGTGTTTCCTGTGCAACGTCACTCATTCACACTGTGCCTCGCTCGCTCGTTTATCCTCCTTTGAGCATTTAAAAATTCTGGAGCATAATTAATATTAATCATAGTTAACAACATTTGAACAATTGAACAACATTTAATTACTTTTATATTAACATTAATATTGTTAATATAAAAGTATTATAACATCTTTATGCAAAAGTAGATTAAAGGGATAGTTCACCTAAAAATAAAAACTCACCCACATTTCGTTTCAAACCCGTAAGACTTTTGTTCATCTTCAGAACACAAATGAATATATTTTTGATGAAATCCGAGCTTTCTGTCCCTCCACTGACAGCACGGCAAATACCACTTTGACGCTTCAAAAAGTTAATAAAGAGATCGTAAAATTTCATATGATTTGAGCGTTTTAGTCCAAATTTTCTGAAGAGACTCGATCGCTTTATATGACGAACAGATTGATTTTAAGCTTTTATTCATATAAACATTGATCAGCGAACATGAACCTGCTTAATGTGAGAATGAACCTCATTGGTTCTTGCACGTCAAGAGAACATGCTTGAGCTTCCGTTTATCATAACTGATGTGCGAGACGCGAGTTGATGAATGTTTATGTGAAGTGTCAAAGCGAGGGACAGAAAGGTTTCCGATTTCATTAAAAATAGATCTTTATTTGAATTCCGAAGATGAAAGTCCCACAGGTTTTGGAACAACATAAAGGGGAGTAATTAATGACAGAATTTTTGGGTGAACTAACCCTTTAATAGTGTTTTCATATTTAATCATCAATTTATTTTTATATTTATCATACTGTATATCTTCACAGTGGGCTTTCAAATTTTACACTTCTGTTTCTAGGTCACTAATCGAATAAGCAATTTGTGGCACTGATCATGTGAACTTGTTTGTACAGACGATCGGATGTTCTTGCTTTCACTGAAGTACAAGATGCTCTTTGGATTATTTTCAAATCATGCAGGAAAACATGAGATCATCAGAACTTCTGTAGTTCATACCATTCGAGTGCTGTCTTAAAGCAGATTGGGACGAAATCCATACATTTTCACTTGAATTTTTTCATGGAATTTATAATGGATTATTATTTTTATTTCTTTCAAAAGAGAAGCATTTCCTAGTGGTCTTTTGGATGTTTCTGTATATTATATAGCTATATCATCATATTGGCCACACCCCAAAACATTTGGTATCACAGAACAGTCTAGGGTGTTACCTTAATACACACAGAACTTAAAATAGAGGAATGTGGGGACCAAGAAAAACATATTTATGTGGATATTAAATTGAGTCTACTGTACAAGCAGACAAACAAGCAGAGTAGTTGATATATATTATTATAAATAATAATAAATACTCTTTAGAAAATGTAGAAAAAATATCATTTATTCTTTGGAATTTCCAAATGTTATTTAGAATTCTCATGTTCTAAATACCATCCTAACATTTATTTATTTAGGTATATGGGAGAAATAACAATTCTCTTGCAAATAGAATATCTAGGTAATTACATTTTTTACCTGGTTTTGAAATGGAAATCAGCATCTGTACAAGCAGAGCAGAATTTTGTCCTCAGCCTTCCCTCAAAATTGGAACTTTTATGGACAGTGCAAGGCCTTTGATCTTTCAGCACCCCTCGGTGTCAAACCTGCTTTGAATAAAGGTGAACCAACTCAAGCCAAAACCTATGAATTACTACAGAACGAAATGACTACATCATACACATGACCCCTGCTAGCAGTCCAGGCTTCCGAGACAGAACATTGTGTGTTGCAATGGTGGTCTTTAAAATGTTCAGGTTTGTGCCTAACTTGCTTTCTACCCCTGTCAGCCTTGACTGGGTTATTCAGGGCTAAGTTAGGCTTCTGGAGTTGGCTATTTCAGACTATAGCGATGAAGTGCTTCAAAGTAGGAATCTGAAGTAAAGGAACAGGTTCAGGCGATTTATACTGATGTTACTGACAGAGGTATGTCCTGTGTCTCCTAATTCTGGCAAGAGTGAACCTCCATTCCTGTCTATTAATGAAAACAAATTGTAAATCACTGGTTCCACAGACAAGGCTTAAGCCTAGTCCCAGAATAAAATGGATGTTTCAGTTGTCTTAACTGAAAAAAAAAAAAAAAATCTTAAAATATATTAGTGCTATTGTTTTGTCTCAAGATGCACACCAGCAATGTTTTTTTTCTAAGTCGCGTTTTAAAAAAGCTATTTGAATGTCCTAATTAAACTAAGGCCTAATCCTATTTTAATCTAAGCCCTGTCTGTGAAACCAGGCCTATAAATTAAATGGTAAAATGTTACATAGGACACTATGTAGTGCATATGTTTTGAGCAACAAGTTTTCCAGTCAGTGATTGGGATTATTTAGAGTTATTTTAATAGACACTGCAAACAAAAAGATGAATTTCTAGCCAATTAAATATTTAAAGCATAAGCAGAAATCTTTGTTATATATATATATTTTTTTAATATTTCAAGGGATCCGTCACCAAGATTTTACAAAGTTCAAAAGGTTCCGACACAAAATTACCTTTCAAAAGTTATTTATTTCATTATGTAAGAAAATAAGACAAAGCAACAACATCCTCTTTTTCTCCCATGGCACACAAGGTGAAATATATGCAAGTTTGGCAACAAATGAATAAGGAAAAAAAAAACAGATACAAGCAAAACGTATCCAAGTTGGTCTTGGTCTTTTAAAAGTAACTCATAAACTATATATCTTATTCTCAGAAATATACCTCAACTTCAGTCAATAAAAGAGGGAACTATAGCAGAAGTATCTTCTTATGTGTTTAAATGAAGTGTGAGCACAGGCTTGATTTGCATAGCTTTAAGGAGATCAAAACATTTTCTCTACTGTTAGCTTCTTAATGACTAAACAAATGACTACGTCCATGTGTTGTGTTACGGAGGAGGGCACGGCCGAATCGGAAGTCCGACGCATATCGGCACCTAACTTATAGCTACTATGTGCTGGACGACGTGCCTTGAGCCAATATCAAATGAGAACATCGTCGCTTTGACTCATGCATTCTCACTTTCATATTTTGGGTCATTTTGTAAAAAAAAATATCCAATGAACAAACAAACAAAACAATGTCTTTTTCCATATTGAAACAAATCTACGTAAACCATACACAATCTATGCGATAGTTGGATGTGGAGGTGTCCACTCTTATAGCTTTTATAGTGGTCTGTGTTTGGATCTCTTAAGGCCTGGAATGGGTCTCCACGACTGCATTGGTCAATCGTTTCTAGCATACCTGCAAACTCCGGACCGGCGAAAAAGTTCTCTTCTGAAAATGACTACATCTTATGCAAATAGAAAAGCAGAAATACAGCGGTATCCCCTGTAAAGCTATGCTTATAGACTCTATTACCATGAACAGGTAAGATGAAAAAAAAGAAAGGTGATGAGTTTGCAGGTATGTTCTAGGGAAAACAAAGCAGCATAAAAAAAAAAATCTCAAAGAAAGAGTTGCATTGAATGGAAGTGCTACTTCACCCAAAAATGAAATTCTGACATCATTTATTCACCCGAATTTCAAACCCGTATGACTTTCTTTTTTTCTGTAGAACCAAAAAAGTTGGGGTTTTTTTGTCCATATGCACACTATATTCCAAATCTATAAGGCCAAACTAAGTTGTTATTCACAGAAAATTTCCCCCCAATGCCATAGCTCTTAAAACTCACACGTCTCCACTCTCCATGTATAGTGTATTCAATATCAGGTCAATAAGGACTTCAATTTCTGGCTATTTCTCACACAAATCAGACAGACCCTTTGGATCACTGTATGGAAAGGAGCAGCATGAGCATTCCACTAAACTTCTCCTTTTGTGTTTTACAGATGAAGGTTGAGCAACATAGGATGAAGAAATAATGAAAGAATGTTCATTTTTGGGTGAATTCTAGCTTTCAATTGACCCCTTTCTGTTCATTCAGGCATTACTCTAGGGTGTGATCACATCACATGCTCGCCGTTTGCTTGTGACAGTGAGGAAGGCAAATATTACAACAGCATGAGTAAGTGTCATTTTCTCTCTAGCTATTGTGTTGTCAGTAAGGTACGACATCGAACGGGTGCAACAAGAACAAGGGGCAAGTTTGGAAGGCCTAAATCAGAAAACACAGTTTATATGCTAGAACCATCCAGTTTACATTACAACAGAGCAGAGCAACGAGGAGATTCACTTCACTTGTGGAAGCCGTATTGCCCGTTTTGGTGTACAAATCAGATCAAGCTTCACAACATCTACAGTATTTGAAATGCCTGCGTGAACAATACTCTTGATACATTGATTCATCTTCAATACTAGAGTTCTGGGGTTGTGGACATCAAACCACATGTATAGCTGACATCTGACTACGATTATTCAAACGTGAGCTGCTTCATATATAGGCTTTTGCTCTGGTTACACCTGATCCATTTGGATCTCCAGCTCCACCTGTTGGCAGAAAGGTGTAGTGACTCGAACCAGCGAGCCATTCACCACCGCAATGGCTTATCAAGACCCATCCTCCAGTTCAGTGAACTCTTAGAAGCCCCTGAGGTCACCTAAATGCATGCGTACAAGCAGACAAATATAATACACACACACGCACGCACATTTATAAGGTAAACATTTCCTTCAGAAACCCCCACACAGAGCAAAGAAGATAAGGCAGAGTGGCAGACTCAGGCTGTTTCATCCAAAAACACAGACGTCCCGTGTCCATACCTTAAAACTATGAAATCTAAAAGCAGGAAGATACAGTGCTTGAATACGAACATCACAGACCAGTCAGAAGAACATAGGACAGCTCGTCACCTCATAAGGAAGCGAAGTTGGAGTTCTTGAGCTGTACTCATTTTTACATGTACAGCATATGGTAACATTTCGTTAATATAAATAAAAGCTGATTGAATTTTAATTCTAGTGCTGAACCTTCTGAAGTTCACACCTTCTAAAACATGAAAATGAAGTATAGGCAGTGAGAGCCAAAGAGTAATTCATTTAAATGCAAACAAACTTGGTTTTGTTTTGTTTTTTAAGAGATTGAAATATTGATGCAGCATGCACTGGAATGATTGGGGTCCTGAATATTATAGATCTACAGAGTTTTTTTTTGGTAGACCTCTTCTACCCACTTAAACATGTCTGCCAGGCTGGGTTTGTGCGTGCTGTGAAGGTGTATGGGTGAATGTAGTGGTGTGGGAATGCTGGTGTTACTCCCTCTTGTCCGCTGCTTTGGACTGTTCTCTCTGGATCATGCAGCGGCGGACGATGCTGTCAAAGCTGCCCAGGTAGAAGAGAGCGATGGTGCGGAACAGTCCCATGGTCACAATCTGGACAGGGTGACAAAATATTACTATTTTAACATATCACAGAAAATAAACAACTGTGTATTCGATAGGGGTGGAACGGTACATGTATTCGTACCGAACCGAAACGGTACGGGCGTCACGGTTCGGTGCACGAATTTACACGGAGAATACACGGTATAAAAATAAATAAAACTCGCGTGGAAATTAATTAATGTAATGCGGAACTACTGTTAGATACGCGGGTTCTTTAGGGACACATAATCTTTACCATCTGCTTAGCTCTGAACGCGCGTTCACTTCAAACGTGGGCTTATACGCGCGTCCTATTCGCTTTGGACTAGCGTCGAACAAGACGCGATAGACGCGAATTTAACGCTCTATTCGCGTTTGGTGTGACCACATAATGAACAGGCTGCGATGTCAAGATTGCAATGCTGGAGTGTGTGTGCTTATGTGTGTGTGTGTGACTGTGAGAGAGAGGCGCGGCCGCGATCGAACAGTGGAAACATAAAAAACATACTCCGTCATTTTGTTCATACAGATCATTAAACCTGCAAAGTGTTTACTTATATTTGTGTACACTCGCAATAAAACACAACATTGTCCTTTTGTCACACTGTAAACTCTTGTCAAACTGTAACCTACAACTGTCACCCAACCAAAATCTCTCTCTCTCTCTCTCTCTCTCTCTCTCTCTCACACACACACACACACACACACACACTGTTTTAAAAGCAAAACATATTTATCCAACTCCATTTCAAAACAGTCTGTGGGTCCCATCTTTTGGACATTCATCGCATTGGTTTTCATTTCTCGTCCTCGGAGCACTAATCTTAAACATTCTACATTGATTAAAAAAGAAAATCGAATGCGTTATTAATGGTAGTATTATTTTATACAGAAATCAATTATTTATAATTCAGATGAGAATAATGTTACATTGTTAATTAATAATGTTAATTAAAATTAAGGAAAACAAATATATTGATCTGAAATATAGCAAATTAATTTTAAATTAATTCAGGTACAATTACCAAACATATCGCAAGGTCTTTTTGTCTTTTTATTAATTTAATTAATAAACTAATTATATAAAACTATTGTCAGTGCACTACAAATAAACTGGTTCTATGCCTTTATTAATAAAACTTATTTTAAAAATACAATGCCTTCTGCATTTTTGTTTTGCTTTTCCCTCCATTGTACCGAAATCGTACCGAACCGTGATGTCTGAACCGAGGTATGAACCGAACCGTGACTTCTGTGTACCGTTCCACCCCTAGTATTCGATTATCCATCCATCCATCCATCTATCTACCTATATATATATATATATATATATATATATATATATATATATATATACACTTAGAGTATATATAATATATATATTTTGATCTACCTATATATCTATCCATCTACCTACCTACCTGTCCATCCATCCATCTATCGATTCTACCTATATATCTATCAATCCATCTACCTAGTACCTATCCATCCACCTATATATCCATCCATCCATCTATCTATGAGCCATGTTTTTCTTACTGTGAAGAACATTTTAATAATCTAAATTATCTTATTTTTAATCCTATATATCTATCTGTCAACATATATTTATATATATATACACTCACCGGCCACTTTATTAGGTACCCCATGCTAGTAACGGGTTGGACCCCCTTTTGCCTTCAGAACTGCCTCAATTCTTCGTGGCATAGATTCAACAAGGTGCTGGAAGCATTCCTCAGGGAGTTTGGTCCATATTGACATGATGGCATCACACAGTTGCCGCAGATTTGTCGGCTGCACATCCATGATGCGAATCTCCCGTTCCACCACATCCCAAAGATGCTCTATTGGGTTGAGATCTGGTGACTGTGGAGGCCATTTTAGTACAGTGAACTCATTGTCATGTTCAAGAAACCAATTTGAAATGATTAGAGCTTTGTGACATGGTGGAAGTAGCCATCAGAGGATGGGTAAATGGTGGCCATAAAGGGATGGACATGGTCAGAAACAATGCTCAGGTAGGCCGTGGCATTTAAACGATGCCCAATTGGCACTAAGGGGCCTAAAGTGTGCCAGGAAAACATCCCCCACACCATTACACCACCACCACCAGCCTGCACAGTGGTAACAAGGCATGATGGTTCCATGTTCTCATTCTGTTTACGCCAAATTCTGACTCTAACATCTGAATGTCTCAACAGAAATCGAGACTCATCAGACCAGGCAACATTTTTCCAGTCTTCAACTGTTCAATTTTGGTGAGCTCTTGCAAATTGTAGCCTCTTTTTCCTATTTGTAGTGGAGATGAGTGGTACCCGGTGGAGTCTTCTGCTGTTGTAGCCCATCCGCCTCAAGGTTGTGCGTGTTGTGGCTTCACAAATGCTTTGCTGCATACCTCGGTTGTAACGAGTGGTTATTTCAGTCACTGTTGCCCTTCTATCAGCTCGAACCAGTCTGGCCATTCTCCTCTGACCTCTGGCATCAACAAGGCATTTCCGCCCACAGAACTGCCGCTCACTGGATGTTTTTTCTTTTTCGGACCATTCTCTGTAAACCCTAGAGATGGTTGTGCGTGAAAATCCCAGTAGATTAGCAGTTTCTGAAATACTCAGACCAGCCCTTCTGGCACCAACAATCATGCCACGTTCAAAGTCACTCAAATCAACTTTCTTCCCCATACTGATGCTCGGTTTGAACTGCAGGAGATTGTCTTGACCATGTCTACATGCCTAAATGCACTGAGTTGCCGCCATGTGATTGGCTGCTTAGAAATTAAGTGTTAACGAGCAGTTGGACAGGTGTACCTAATAAAGTGGCCGGTGAGTGTATATATATATATCGATCGATCCATCCATCTATCTACCTCTATAGCTATCCATCTATACCTAACCATCCATCTACCTATATATCTGTCCATCTATCTATCTACCTATCCATCCATCTAGGAATTCCCCGATACCAGTCAGGCCCAATACTGCTTGTGTACTCATATTCATATACAATAAAATGCTTTAATACCAAAAAAAACGATACCACGCAGCGTGTGTACAGAACAGTGTTTGTGTCCAGAAAAAGAAACGCAGACAACAGAACAAACAAAGATATAGAGATATCAGAGATTAAATATGTCTATGAAGTAGAACATTAAGCATAAATTCAATATCTACACCTGTATAGCTGCTGTGCACAATATGATAAGTGAAGCACGCTAAGTGGTTTAAGCTCGCAGCAGCATAGACGAGCACACATCCCTTTCTCAAAGACATCGCTGAAAAGTTTGTGGTTTAGTTCGGTCGGATACATCAATAGCAAAGTAAAACGACGCACCTATTACTAAAGTTATTTGATGCTAGAGAGAGAGAGAGAGAGAGCAATTCTGTTGCATGCTCTTGATTGCTGATTGCTCACTCAGTGTGTAGGTACCCTAACTAAAAACATGAACTGTTATGTGATTTATGTAAAACATGTGATTCTCTACATTTTTACAGGAAATGTCATGTGATTACTGTGCCGCTGGACTGGAGAGGTTCTAAATGTGTGCTGTAGATGAAATACAACAGAGCAAAAGAATGAAGAGTGAACAGAACATTAACAGACGCCTGTGCAATAATTTAACAGGCATAATTAAGCATGAAAATAACTGAAGGAAACATCTATTTGCTAAACTAATTAAGCCACTTGATTTGATTCATATTCGTTTGGTTTCTCTACCCAATTTCTTTTTTTTAAATATTATATTTAAATGATTTAACAATTTATTTATTCAAGTTATCATATTTAAATATTGTATTTAAATTATATTTTAAAATGCAAATGAGTACCAAAAATGAAAGTATCAGTATCTAACAATCTATCCATCCATTCATCTAAGCTATTTAAAAAAAATCTCAAATAAGTTACAGTATACAGACTGTGGGTATTTGCCATGACATCAAACAGCTGGACTGATTCAGAAACTACATAATAATTGATAATTGTCAACAAGATAGGAAAGGAATAGAAGTAGTAAAAGCTTTGACACAGACACACTAATAATTCAGAGACTGAATCCACAGACTTTTTTTCACATATTATTGGGGAAAATCTGCAAAATTGAATTAAAAAAAATGGTACCATCCTCTTCTTAGTCGGTGAAAACAATCAAATCAGCCCAAATATTTAATGAGGAATGTGATGTGATGATCTTTAATTTCATTCTGCACATGCTGATAACATCTGAATACGTTTTACTTAGTGAAAATCTGTGACTATATTTTATATTCTTCAAAGAAATGCATTTAAAAAAAATGCAGCCTGGCTGACCTCACAGGTTTATTCCTCTGATTTGACCAGTTTAGAGTCAGGGAAGAGCTGGGCAAAAGTCAAGAGGCTCATTAAAATCTTCAAAGGGAATATCTAAGACCGTGACTGACTCAAATAGCCCTACGAAAGCTGAATGCAAACAAGATGTTACTAAGATACAAAGATGAAGCAGGATGATAAAAGGGACATGATGCAGAAATTATTAGCTGTCATTCCATGTCAATCTCCTAGGGTATTGTCAATGCGTCAAATATGATGACACTGTTGCACTAGAGTCAGAATCTTAGTGTTTAGTGACAATGGGCCGTACCTGCTGCAGCCCCTCGGTGATGGAGGTCACAGGTGACATCCCACAGGTCAGCGCTGACAGCATGTAGCCATCAGGACCAAATGAGCTGGTGAAATTTCCCTGCTGTGAATGGACAAAAACCAGAAAGGGTATTTAAGGTATTTGAAGGAAACAATAGTTAATATTTACACAAACACACACACATACTGTACATATATATACTGTATACTATGGAAGCTTGTTTCCGCCACTGAATAAAAATTTATTTATTTTTTTAATTGCGACTTTTTATCTCAAAATTGCGAGATATAAAGTCGCAATTATGAGAAATAAAGTCGCAATTGCGAGAAAAAAAAGACAGAATTGCGACTTTTTATCTCACAATTCGGACTTTTTTTCTCACAATTGCAAGTTTACATCTCGCAATTCTGACTTAATAACACATAATTGCGAGTTTATATCTCGAAATTCTGACATCTTTTCTCAGAATTGTGAGATATAAACTCGCAATTTCGAGTTATCAGGCCAATTCTAAGGGGGAAAAAAGACTGAATTTTTTTCCCTCAGAATAGTTTATATCTCGCAATTCTGACTTTACAACACGCAATTGCGACTTTATTTCACGCAATTCTGACTTTATAACACGCAATTGCAACTTTATTTCACGCAATTCTGACTTTACAACACACAATTGTGACTTTATATCAATAAACTCTGACTTTATATCTCGCAATTCTGACTTTATAACACACAATTGTGATTTTATATCACGCAATTCTGACTTTATATCTCGCAATTCTGACTTTATAACACGCAATTGTGATTTTATATCACGCAATTCTGACTTTATATCTCGCAATTCTGAGAAATAAAGTCAGAATTGTGAGATGTAAACTCGCAATTGTGAGAATAAAAGTCAGAATTGTGAGATAAAAAGCAATTACCTTTTTTATTTTTCATTCTGTGGCAGAAACAAGCTTCCATAATATACACATCTATATATATATATACACACTACCGTTCAAAAGTTTGGGGTCAGTGAGAATTTTATTTTTATTTTTTGGAGGAAAGAAATCAATACTTTTATTTATCAAGGACAGTAAAGACATTTATAATGTTACAAAAGATTCTATTTCAAACAAATGCTATTCTTTTAAACTTCCTATTCATCAAAGAATCCAAAAAAAAAAAAAAAACTGTACAACTGACAGACTGTTTCAAACTGTTTCAACATTGATAATAATAATAAATGTTTCTTGAGCATCAAATCCTCATATTATACTGATTTGTGAAGGATCATTTGACACTGAAGACACTGACACTGGTGATGTTCACTGGTGATGACACTGGACTCAGCTTTGATCACAGGAATAAATTACACTTTACTATATATTCACACAGAAAACAGCTGATTTACACTGGAATAATATTTAATACTATAACTGATTTTTGTTGTATTTTTAATCAAATAAGCGCAGCCATGGTTAGCAGAAGAGAATTCTTTTAAAAGTATTTAAAATCGTACCGACCCCAAACTTTTGAACGGTAGTGTATATAAAAACCTGCAACATTTCTCAAAATATCTTCTTTTGTGTTCCACAGAAGAAAGTAAGTCATACAGGTTTGGAACGACATGAAAGTAAAATATGACAATTTACAATATCCCTTTAAAGAAGGACTTTATTGTGCTTAAAAACAGCTAGACGGAGTGCAAAACAGAAAGCAGGGGTCTCAAGGCAGGTTATTAAAAGCTAAAGGTCGACTTTTGATCAGTCCCTACTTACCACAGCATCCTTCACCGCGATTTTTGCCACTTGCTCAGGCTGACAGACTCCAGACGTCTCTGAAATTAACTTGGTCTCCAGAGGCTGCCGTTGAGAGAGATAAAACCAGAATAAGAATAATACATAGGCCGGACAAAAACATGTTTTGCCCAGCATTACTTTGTGCAGGGACAAACAGCCACCTCAATATACAGTATATATATTTTTAAATTCAGGAACAAAGATCCAACTATGTAAAAGAGCGGAGACATGCATTATTAGAAATCCTTCATTTTTAAATATTCTATTAATATTAATGCTCTTTTCTAATATTCTAGGTATCTAATATTCAGTGATTAATTCTATTCAGGAAAAAAAAAATCTATTATCTCACCTTAGTCTTATTCTCTTCTGCAAAACCTGGTGTGTCCGTGTCTGGGGGATACGCCACAGTGACATAGATATTATAGGGCTTCATCTAAGAAAGATCAGGAGGAAAGATTAAATCAAAATCAAATTGTTAATGGACAGCAACATGGTACATACTAAGTGAGCGTCACGTATACATACACACCTCCATCTGCAAGGCCTCAGCCAGACCACGCAGGGCGAATTTGGATGGCGAATAGGCCGTGTAGCCAAAGAGGCCAATCTGCCCTCCCTGTGACGACACAAACATGATGCGGCCCATCCGCCTTTCCTTCATAGTGGTGATCACTGCCCGGGTGGGGTAAACGCTGCCCAGATAGTTCACCTCCATCATTTTCTGTTAAAGGCACAATATGTAAGATTTTTGGGATTAAATTATCCAAAAACCCCTAGAACAATATTATATATTGTTGACTTGTGTACTTGAATTATCCAAAATGTTTCCAACAATACAGAATACAGTAAATACAGAGAAGTTGCTTTAAAGCAAGCAGCTTTGCAGTATTAAAGTCGTATTTAGGATTTAAACGAAGTTTACCCGAATTCCCGAGTTGGGCGGGCAATAAACATGGCGAAGGGGAGAACGATTGCTGCTGGGACTGATTTTCTTTATTAGTTTTTTATACAACAGCTTCATTCGCCTTGTCTTGTCATTAAAGTAATGCATATTTGAAGAGTTTGGTTCCAAAACGCAATAAATCCATTTAGATTAATTTGAGTAAAAATTTGTTTTCTTTACCAAGAAAGTGGAAAGATGAAAACCACTATTTTCTGTTTCAAACTTTCACATAGCATTTGTAGGTCATAATAACAAAAAAAATTAAAATCCAGGTTTTGATTTTCAAAGATTTATTATAAAAACGGATTATTTTTCCCCCCAAAATGCAATAAATCCTTTTTTTTTTTTTAAATGCAATTAATCCATTGAATCAATATAAAAGTTTTTTTTCCATATTGAAACTGTTGAAAATACACAACAACGTAAGTTTATTAGTATAATATTTTTATTAAGAACTGTAAAGAAGATTGAAAACATGTTTCCTCCTCCCGAGTGCCTCATCTTCTTAATCTCCTCACGTAAATGATTCGATTTCGATGCCTTACGTTTCTTACCGACCGCAGTAACAACCACAGGTTTATCAATGCCGTCAAAATTATTCATTTTTTTGTTTGTTTGTTGATCGAAAAGTACAAAATAGATAAGAAAAACTAGGAAGCCGGGTGTATTTAAGGCGCTGCCGTTACTGTTTACATTGCGTGGAATGGTGCGTTGTGATTGGTTGAGAGCGGATATATCGCATTCTGCAGAGAAGGGAGACTGGCGTTTGTCACGGTTTGGAAAGTAAGGGAGAAAACATGACAGAATAACACGGCGGATATCGCATTTTACTTAAAATTAAACATTGACTTTTCAATACCAACCAGATAAAATACTGATTTTTCCAGTAACGATTTTTTTTTTTTAAATGCCGTTTATCGCGTTTTGGAACCAAACTCTTCATTTACATATATGAATAATCATTTAAAGCGTATCATTTAAAGCCTGTATATGACTGAAATTCTAGAATCGACAGCAAGCTGACTATCTAGATAGCGTGGTGAATGTATAAATGCTTGTCAATGAATGGGACGCTAAATATCATTTTGGCTTAAATAAGATTTTCCCAATAAATAAGCAAGAATAAACCTGGTGTCCTCCATGATTCATGTTCTTTCCGGCAACAAAGCACTTGAATTTGACGAGCTGGTAATCGAGACTTAAGAAGTGGGAAGTAGGAAATTTCCGATAACAAGTGAAGGCAGAATAATAGTAGTTCGAAGGGGTTGACCAGCAAGGGCGAACTTTCCTGGAAAGTTTGCTTTAGGAAGCTGTTTTGAACTCCAGAAACAAACTCAAAAACTAACTTCATTTTGGCTGGATTTTGTTCGAAAAGACATCACAGCAGTTCATTCTTCGATTTCCAAGGCCTTTACTAGCCCAATTCGAAAATGCCCAAGCACATGTCTATGATATGCTGCTCTTACCTTGAAGCGGTCAACTTCCACCTCCTCAAACTTCCCAGATATAGACGTCCCAGCACAATTCACCAGCATGTCCACAGGACCCAGCTTCTCTTGAGCCTGGATAGCAAACACAAACATGCAACAGTCAGCAACCATCGCAAACCATCTGAAGAAAAAAAAATTATAATAGAGTTTATGTTTGAAAACAATGACCAGATTAAATGCTGACATAGAATAATATGCGAACAGATTCTTATAAATTGGTAAACAAAATAAACATACTTGTTTTATGACACTCTCCACTTGGCTGTAGTCTTTCGACACATCAACAGAAATGCAAAGCACCACCTAGAGGTAATCATGACAATACATGTCAAGCCCATTTAAGATTTTTGAGTTGATTTTGAGTGCAAGGTCCAAAAAATGTAAATAAAAATACACACTTGCTTATCATTTATGGCACATTTTTCCACTTCTTTCTTGGCTTGAACCAACTTGTGCTGTAGGGAGACATGTACGCAATGGTAAACACACATACAGGCTCATGGTTTTCAGAATTTAACACAAACAACAACAAATATGTAATACCATCCAAAGGCAGGATTAATTATTATGTAAACTACTGATCAAAAATTTTGGGGTCAATAAGATTTCTTTTCTTTTTTTAAAGAAATTAATACTTTTATCCAGTGCAGAATATTTCTATTCTAAATGCTGTTTTTTTTCTTCCTTTTTATTCATAAAGGGATCCTGGGGAAAAAATCGATGGTTTTTCCACAAATATATTAAGCAGCACAATGTTTACAACATTGATAATAATATCTTCAAATAACTGCAGTCACTGACACATGATATACACACCTCGTCTCGTGCCACCAGTGTGATGAAGGCACCATGTTTGTAGCATTCCATGGCAATGCACTTCCCAATCCCACTGCTGCCTCCGGTCACCTGATGATGGACAGCATATTCAGAGCAGATTTATTACAAACCAAGCAAGTCACAGTTCACATCATTTACTAAAATATGCAAAACGCTTTGAGAGAGCATATAAACAAATTCACCAGGTAAAAGCACCAGAAAATCTAACAAAAAAAAAAAAAAAAAAAAAAAATCTTCAGTGCAGGTGCCACCATCTGTTCTCAAACAGTAGACAGTGCAACAGTCAGATAAGGTTGCAATTACAAAAAAATCCTGTTCATATCCTCTATAGAGACACTGACTTTTCACAATATACAGGGTACAAGACTCTACTATTAAAAGGATAGTTCACCCAAAAATGAGAATTCTCTCATCATTTACTCGCCTTCATGCTGTTTCTCTCTTCTGTTGAACACAAACGAAGATATTTTGAAGAATGTCGGTAACCAAGCAGTTGATGCACCCCATTGACTTCCATAGTATGGAGGGGGAAAAATACTATGGAAGTCAATGGGGTCCAACAACTGCTTGGTTACCGACATTCTTCAAAATATCTTCGTTTGTGTTCAACAGAAGAAAGAAATTCATACAGGTGTGGAACAACATGAGGGCGAGTAAATGATGACAGAATTTTAATTTTTGGGTGAACTATCACTTTAACTAAGAGATTAGTGTTATTTATCAGGGAACTGGATGGTTTTATTCTTGGCTTAAAACTCGTCCACAAGCAATCGGAAAAATAAAATAATGGCTGCTGAAAAAAGTGTGAGATCATTCTGTGTGGTGTTAGTACATTATATGAATTCATTCTGATCTCTCTATGTGTTAGCCCAACTGCTTTTAAGATATAAAGAAACAAAATCAAGCATTTTATAAACAAAGCTTTGCGAAATATCTTAAGAAATCGTAAAATAGATAAAAATTGACTATTTTTAGAGAGCTCAACATGGTGTTCATTTACAACTAGATAAGTTTGAGCTCTTGATAAACTATGAACCTTAGCAAATGCAAAAACATGCAGTGCCCGCTTGAAAAGGTCCATTGCCCTGGAACAGATGGTTGCATAACCAGTACAAGAATGCATTTATTTGGCCACCTGTGAGAAATATGAGCTGTAACATGAATATTTTTATGCATTTACAATATGAAGCCATAACAAATATTTTCACCAACTGATGAAACAAATAAAAGTCACATGCACATTTGCATTGGTCCATTGCGCATAATTGCAGTGACGTGACACATAATGCATAAGTGCATATAATCACTTTATGAATAGAACAATTAATGTTTAATGCAAATACATTATTATGCGTTTGCAATATATGGAAGACAACGCATTGGCAACCATTTATTTTATACTTCTTATGTTATAAGATCTGTGTGCTGTTATTTAAAATAGAATTATATGAACTTACCACCACATGGGCCCCGTTCAGTTTGAGAGGTTTGGGGCTTATTAACGGGGATATCATGTACAGCAGCAGCACGAAGGCCACGATGAAAGCAGCCACTACCAGGAGCATAATGAAAGGCAGAAGCAGCCACCAGGAGTTAAAGGAGAGCCAGTGTGAGAGCGCGGAGCCGAGAGCCTTCTCAGAGGACATGGGTCAACCTGATGCTGATGACGTTAGCTCACAAGCTAAATGTCCAATTCCAGGCACTCCCCTGTCTCGCGGACAGAAGATAACAGGCCTTCGGGTGAGCTGTTTATGGGCTTATATTATCTGGTGATGTGCAAGAGGCCTGTGCAGTAGATTAAATACTAGGTTGAAGTCGTAAAACCGCAAAAGCTAACTCTTTCCGTTCACTACATGAACCAAAACACAGAATCTATGCACTTTGAACGGGATGCTGCGCTTGAGCGGTGGAATAATGGGAGTTGTAGTTTTTTTAACCTCCGCTTAACCCCGCCCAGTTCAGAAAAAGACTACAAGTTCCAAAGTTCAACACTCTTTTCATAAACTGTCAATAATTGTCACTTTCTTAATTAACGTAAAAGAGTCTTGAAATGTTTTTTTAGATGTTCTATAAGCCGTTTCGCTGTCTAAGCTACTGATTCTGACCGCCTCAGAGATTCAAACATTCTCCTAAAACAAGCCCCTAAAGAAAAGACATTATTTAGGGGCCGGTAAGCCAACCTGCTGTCAAAAAGAGACTGCCATCATGATTTGACTGTTATTTCAACGACAAAAGACAAGTTATTTCCATTTCAACCTTTATTTACATGTGAATAATAAAATGAACAAGATAGACCCCTTTTAACTGTCAAACAGGCCTTATCCTTAAAACAAACCAAACATTTCTATACTAGTTATTCTAATACAATGTTTAATAGGTTTTTTTTTTTTAAATGGCAAACCAAACACCCTATAAATGCATAGGAGCTGTATACAGATTGATATATAGTTGTAAAGTTTTAAATGAAATGTGCAAATATCATTGAATCATTCCCAAACGTTCTGCCTATAAAAACAGGTATATATCCATCAATAAGCATCAGTATGTGTGAATCTGTGTATGTAGATTGAGTGAGACAGACAGAGAGACAAGAGGGAAATGCAAAAAAGGCACATTGTGTGCTGAGCCTCAGCAAGTGAATTTACAAACGTCCAACGCTGGCCCCTGAACATATAATGTAACTCATAACTCAGTGAAGAAATATCACGTTTTACAGTAATATACTGAAAGTAACGCTGTACATGGAGACAAAAACATATGAAGTATATGTAAAGAGTGCCTGAATTGTTAAATGGGGATCTCAAAGTGTTACATCAAATGCCAATGCAGATTCAAAGTGTGACTTTCTCAAACGAGAAGGAAAAAAAGACAACTCTCATTACCAGCACCCTTAAAAAGATGTCTTTGCAGCAACAAACAAGAGCCACTTTAAATGGTTCTTCTACAAAGCACAGGCAGCAAAAACATTTTAAGATGGGGCTGAAAAGTCTTCATGCGCCATGGAGCTTAATTATTGTCCATTCAGACTTATGCGACTGTAAACAAGAGTTACATTAGTATTTCTTCAAACGATTAGTCACTGGGTATACGTAACAACTTATTACATTTGCTAATTGTTTTACAGGACATCTGTTGTAGGCCCTTCTGACTGTTAATCATAGACAGACAGTAAGCGCAGATTATTATGAGTGAGACCGCTGATTAAAGATGAAAGATGCATGATGGTCACAAGGTACTGATGGCAGCCTTGCAGGCAGAGTAGCTATTAAAAACAACTGAGGTGGGCTTGAAGAGATGCACATTTCAAATTACATCTAGCATTTAGCCTGAGCTGAGGGGGGCCGTCGGTCAGAGGAAGAGCATGGGTACGAAAGGAAGAGAGGGGCGTGTGAAGGGCAAGAGATAAGACGTTACAATCACATTCTGTTTGCTTTGGTTTCAGGAGTCCGGCTCTGTTCAGCCCTCCTGTCCAAAGTCCTCTGTGAACTTTTTCAGCTTCTCCAGATCCTGCTCGTTGACGGTGGGCTTTGTGTTGGTGAGGGACCTCAGCATGTCCGACTGTGGGTACGGGCAAAGTAGAGTGATGATTTGATTAAAGTACCATAACATTCTTGCAAATCTACACAAGTTAGTTTTTTAATAAAATAAAATAAACAAAACATTCATTGTATCATTAACTTCCTATTTTTTTTACTTTAACTTTTTTTTTTTAATAAATACTAATATTATTATTATTTCTATTGAAACACTAATATTTTTATATAAATACTATTATTCTGTTTGGTCCAACCATTAAAAGATGCTGCAAAATAGCCAATATACACATATATAAACACTACCGTTTGGTAGTGTATACTGTATATTTGTTACATATTTTGTTTGTAAAGTTTGGGCTCAGTTAGAATTTTTTTATGTTTTTGAATGAAGTCTGCATTTATTTGATCAAAAATACAGTAAAAACAGTAATATTTAATAATAATAATAATAATAATAATACATAAGGGATAATGTACATCAGGTCATCCGAATTAATAATATATTATTATTATTAATTTAATTAAATATTTAAAATAACTTGTCTATTTTCATGTTTTTTTCCTGTGATGCAAAGCATCATTACTCCTGTCTTCAGTGTCACATAATCCTTCAGAAATCATTCTACTATGATGATTTGATGCTCAAGAAACATTTATTATTTTCAATGTTGAAAACAGTTGTGCTGCTTAATATTTTTGTGGAAACAGTGATACATTTTTTTCCAGGATTCTTTTATGAATAGAAAGTTCAAAGAATAGAATTTATTTGAAATAGAAATATTTTGTAACATCATAAATGCCACTAAAAACATGCTCACCATGGAAACAATTGGCTCCAAAAGTTTCTCTCCAGGAACATCCATCCAAGTCATTTCTATAGCCTGTGGGTCACCTGGGGAGCAAGGGGTTAGGAGGTCATCCACTAAGACATTTGGATCATCTCTTGAAGGTCCTCGTACCTTATGAAATAAAAAAATGGTTTCAGTTAGAAAGGGAGGGTAATTAATTTCCAATTAATTAATGACACATTTCACAAGCTTTCATTTAATCCATTGTAATGGTGTCTGGCAGGACTCACCCGTTTAAAGTGAGTGGCAGACTGAACCTTCCTGACGGGCTGCATGAGAGCATCTCTGACGATGACGCTGATGTCAGCACCAGAGTAACCATCCGTCTTCTTGCCCAGAGTCATGAAGTCTGATTCGGTGAGAACGTTAGGTGTGCTGCCCAGATTTAGCTTGAACATGAACCCGCGAGCGTGCTCTTCAGGCAGAGGGATGTAGATACGTTTCTCAAATCTAAACACAACAACACAGAAGATGAACAATGAACAAACACTTGCAGTTAAAAGTGGTAGATGGACATGTACACTCATTCATTGCCGTTACTATTACATTTTAAAACAATCGTCAAACAAATCGGTCACACTTTATTTTAAGGTGTCCATGTTACAGTGTAAATATGCATTTAAGTACTCAGTAATATTAATTAAAATGTACTTACTATAGGGTTTGGTTTAGGGTTAGCTGTATGTAATTATGCAAAACTTACTGTTATAATTACTACAGTAAGAACATGTAATATAGGTAACAAGGGCACTGTAAAATAAAGTGTTACCAACAAATCAAATATATGAAATAGCACAAATGGAGGTTTAGGAAATCATAGCTTATACATCACTACCTACGTCTAGGTTTTTTATACATACACTACAGTTCAAAAGTTTGAGGTCGGCAAGATTTTTTAAAAGATCTCCCTTAAGTTCATCAAAGCTGAATCTATTAGATTTCAAAAATACAGTAAAAACCATAAAATTGTGAAATATTACAATTTGAAAATAAACTAAACTTTTCTATTTCACTATATTTTAAAATGTAATTTATTGCTGTGATGTCAAAGCTGAATTCTCAGCATCATTGCTCCAGTCTTCAGTGTCACATGATCCTTCAGAAATCACTCTAATAGGATGATTTAGTGCTTAAGAAACATCTTATTATTTTCAATGTTTTTCACGATTCGTTGATGAATAAAAAGCATTCATTTGAAATTGAATTATTTAGAAACATTTCTTTGTCGTCACTTTTGATCAATTTTATGCATCCTTGCTAAATATTAATTTAATTAAGTATTCATTTCTTTCAAAAAACAAAACATTTTCTGACCCCAACCCATACACAATTTCAAACGTCCAGGATTTCAAAATATTCCACATAAATATTAGCCTGGATGCCAGCCCGAACCCCGCCCACAACATTTTTTGGTCAGGAAGTTCGGTCTGGACTCGATCCATTGAGGAGTAATTATGATCGGTTCAGAAATGGTCGGGCCAATCAAATTGCCAGGGCGGGCTTTATACGATGATGAACAGATGATCTGCAGTTACGTAATCTTCACGTTCTCAAAGAGCGCTTGGGTTGAACTGGTTTCCCTCAGAGATGACTGCAGCTGGAGAATTGAGATGTATAGATTTCGCTATCGCGTCTGTTGTAAAAGAAATCGACAGCGCATTAATCTTAAAAGACGAACAGAGAACTGCAATCAAGGCATTTGTCGATCGGAAAGATGTGTTTGCCGTCCTTCCCACGGGATTCGGCAAAAGTTTAATTTATCAGCTGGCTCCGATGGTCGCTAAGAAGATGGGACGCAATGAACGCCCTGTGGTCGTTGTGGTTTCTCCTTTGGTCGCACTCATGGAGGACCAAGTAAAAGAAGCAACACTCATTATTTTACTACTTCTTCCAGCGTGCGTGCAGTGTTCTGTTGACAACTTTGCGTAGCTAAACATACTTCACTTACTGCGTTGCTCTGATTGGTTGTAGGTCTATCCAATTGAGTGCAGAGTTTTTTTTTTCCCTGGTTCGGTTAAGACACGCCTCATAATCAAAGCCCTATGGAGCAGTATCAGACTCACATTCTGACTAGAATATGAGTATGACGAAGTCAGGATACATAAATAAAATACCTGTACATCTTTCATAATAACATTCCACATGATTCATACTGATTCATGGTTTCTGGCTCAATCATGAACTACAAGAGTTAAAAAACCTGTTCCTTGATGATGTGACTCGAGTGATGTCATCAAAACATGACGCGTCACACTGGCACAGAGTTTAATGAGATAATCTTTAACTGATAGACTCATTCACTCCTCTCTGACTGCTCTCTTTCAGTTTTCATCATGGTAATTCAGTCACTCATGGAAACAAATTATTACCGTCTTCTGATGGCAGAATCCAACGTCCATGGGATATTTGTGGCTCCCAGTACCAGGATCCCTTCATTGTCAGTCCCAACACCTATAAAGACATGGATTTGCATTAGAAGTCTTAAACCTTCTTTAATCACTTTTTTAAAAGTATATTACTTTTATCTTAAATGCGACAAAAGGGAATTAAAAAAAATCAAGAAAATAATCTTTCCATTCAAAATGATATGAATTGATACAAATTGATATTCATTTCTATAACATGTATAATACATACAGTATATTTGTTTTATTAATACATTCAAACACAATTCTATCTGAAAAACACATTGTAAACTCTTCAGAAGCAGGATTTGACATCCCTGTAACAGACGGTCATAACGTATTCTCACCTTGCATCTGAACCAGAAACTCTGTTTTGATTCTGCGAGCTGCTTCACTTTCATTCTCGCTCCTGGAGCCGCAGAGTGAATCGATCTCATCTATGAAGATAATAGAGGGCTTGTGCTCTCGGGCCAACGTGAACAAGTTCTTCACCAGCCTGTGGGGATAAAAGGACACGTTTAGACATCACGTGACACCATTTTAACCATTTAATCAGGTGACAAGCAACTTTAACAATCAGAAATGTAGATATTTCCAGTATTCTGTATCATTCCCTAAACTTATACAGAATGTACAGCCATAAGAACTAATTATAAAGCCATAAAAAATTAAATGTTTTAAGCATTTTGGCTTTCGTTTACAGGTCAGTTGGTGAGTCAAGGTTGCTCGATACCAAATTCTGTTCAAAGATCCTCATAAAACCTGTACAAAACCTGTCCAAAACCCCACAGATGCAGATGCACCTTCCATACAGTTTCTGCAGTGTGGCACTTCATTTTCTATCCATTATTTTGTATGGCATATGTTGACTAAAAAAATGTAATAGCTACTTTAAAATGATGATAATGCATTTGACTTTTTAATTTTTTTTTACCAATTATGGCCTATCACTTTACAAACAGCTGATTATTACAAATATATTAAACATATTTCAGATGTTCACGTTCTAGCAAACTCCCAGACTCTTAGGTAAAGCTAACCATCACCATTCCTCACAAGACTCACTTTTCACTCTCTCCCAGCCATTTGGATACCAGGTCTGAGGAGGAAATGGAGAAGAAGGTGGAATTGTTGGCTTCTGTCGCTACGGCTTTGGCCAGGTAAGATTTGCCTGTTCCCGGAGGCCCGAACAGAAGGATGCCCCTCCATGGAGTTCTTTTACCTGAGACCGAAACAATCTGTATCGTTATCTGTCATGAAGTATTGGTACAGTTGTAGTTTTGGATACACCCACAGCCATCAATTATCCCTTTACACAAGGTTCAAACTACTGAGCAAAGCACAAGACACTTAGGCCCTGTTTACACCTGGTATTAAGATGCGTTTTGGTCGATCGGATCACAAGTGGACAACGCTAAATACAGGTGTAAACGGGGTCTAAAACGTTTTGAGCTTCTGCTCTCCGTATGTTTTTACATTGTCTCCATTCGCATTCATATGTAAATTGTGTGAGCTTTTCATCCATTAGATCGAAAGATCTGAAAAAACTCATACATTTACATAGACCCTCCCCTGGAAGAAATCAGGACAGAAGTGGTTAAAAGTAGACAAAAAAAGACGGATTAAAACACCAGGTGTAAACAGGATTGTGTCTCCCTCGTCTACTTGTGATCCGATCGACCAAAACAGATCTTAATACCAGGTGTAAACAGGGCCATATTGGCATTGATGAACATTAAATACTTAAAACTTTAAGAGTGTTACATGAAAGCATTAACCCATTAATTTATATTCTTAACCCAGGCAGGAAAAAGCCACTTACCTGTGAAGAGATGTGGGAATTTGATTGGCAGAATGACGGCTTCTTTCAAAGCCTCTTTGGCGCCCTCCAACCCGGCGACATCATTCCATTTAATGTTCGGCTTCTCCATGACAATGGCTCCTGTGACAGAAGAGCCGGTCTTTGAATCAGTCAATAAGATTTAACAGAGATTTGTTGGAATTTAAAACGAAGAAATATCAAATGTATTAACAAAAAAATTACTGTTTTTGCTTAAAGCTCCAGTCCGTAACTTTTTTAAGTTAAAAATAATCCAAAATAATTATATTAAAAAAAACTTATTCTGCCAGTGTTCAAAACTCTCTGCTTGCCATAGCTAGATTCAAAACGGTTAGCTTGTAATAATGATTTTAATTCCAGTGGTACTGGTGGGTTTCCGCGGGAAATTCGAGCATGTCTTTGCGTCATTACGTCACACCCGTACACATAAAGAAGGAGTTTCGGATAGCTGGCTATACTGCGCGTGACGAGATGTTTAGATGTATAGGCTTTTCTCGCAGTACTTTACATAATTAAAGGGATACTCCACTTTTTTTGGAAATAGGCTCATTTTACAACTCCCCCAGAGTTAAACTGTTGAATTTTACCGTTTTTGAATCCATTCAGCCGATCTCCGGTTCTGACGGTACCACTTTTAGCATAGCTTAGCATACATCATTGAAGTGGACAAGACCATTAGCATTTCTAAAAAAAAAATGACCAAAGAGTTTCGATATTTTTCCTATTTAAAACTTGACTCTTCTGTAGTTACATCGTGCACTAAGACCGACGGAAAATGTAAAGTTGCGATTTTCTAGGCTGATATGGCTAGGAACTATACTCTCATTCCTGCGTAATAATCAAGAAACTTCACTGCCGTACCATGAGAGCAGCAGGCGTAATGATATGACGCAGCACCTGAAAATAGTTCCGTTGTGTTGACGGAAGGTGGCCTATTTTCAGGCGCTGCGTCATATCATTACGCCTGCTGCTCTCATGGTACGGCAGTGAAGTTTCTTGATTATTACGCAGGAATGAGAGTATAGTTCCTAGCCATATCAGCCTAGAAAATCGCAACTTTACATTTTCCGTCGGTCTTAGTGCACGATGTAACTACAGAAGAGTCAAGTTTTAAATAGGAAAAATATCGAAACTCTTTGGTCATTTTTTTTAGAAATGCTAATGGTCTTGTCCACTCCAATGATGTATGCTAAGCTATGCTAAAAGTGGTACCGCCAGAACCGGAGATCGACTGAATGGATTCAAAAACGGTAAAACTCAACAGTTTAACTCTGGGGGAGTTGTAAAATGAGCCTATTTCCAAAAAAAGTGGAGTATCCCTTTAAACTTATGGCATCCAGAAAGATCCAAACAACAACCATCAGTGTCAACTGGAGATTCAGCAGTTATAAAACCCAAAAGACTTCGTACTTCGGATTTAAGGTGGCTAGAGAAAGAGAAAGAAACCGTCTCATGCGAACACAAGGATTAAACATCGGCGGGGCTTTTGAAAAGTGCGTGAACTCCGTGTTTTGAAGGGGTTCAAAACGGAAGAAGAGACGGCTTTTTCTGCTGAACAAGTAAGACATTTCAATAGTTCAATCGTGTAACAGTACGTTTTCTTAATTCACACAGTTATGGAGTTTCCTTTGTTGTGCCTTTCTCGTTTAGCTATTATGGAGAATATGAATTCTGAAGTACACAGGTAACCATAAAACACATTAAATTTAACATTAGTCACGCAATGCTGATGTGATGTTGTTAACATGAACAATTTGAGCACAAAGTAGGCTATAATTTGCACGGTTGCTGTAAATCGCGTTGATTAAATCTAACGAAGCTTATCATGTCGAATGCTTTTCCCCCCTTAGTTGGTCAGAACAAAAATGGATGTTACTTACTTGTTCAGAAGACATTTTCTAATGAAAATTCTTATGTTGGTCAAACTTTCAAAAAGTGAATCTGTGATTCTGTTTGACAGTATCCACACAGCGCGGTGACTGACAGCACCACTCGCCTCAAAGCACTGTGTTCATCCGCGCGGTTTCATGCCGATTTACAACCCACGTAAAGATGATAATTCCGCGAATCACTGCAGTTACAGATTTCGAACAGAGAGATGGCGACAAAGAGGAAAAGCTACGGACTGCAGCTTTAGTGTCTGAAAGTGTGGAATATGGGGAATGGGGGATAACTAACCTGAGAGTTGATTCTGAAATTTCTTTTTCTCTGGGTCATCTCCTTCTCCATCGCTCTCATTCCTAGGGTTAAAAACACAATGTGAAATGCGCGCAAAAAGCCGCTTTAAAGACAGTATGGGTATGAGATCTCTCTTTTCTATCACACTTAAACTGACAAAAACACACAAAAATTGTTTCTGAGTACTCTCGTAAATGCAGTCTTGAATGTAAAGAGTTGTGAGAAGATGGGATGTGCGTTAGATCCGCGTCATGTGCGTCAGGTCTTAAAGTGACAGCTGGCTAATAAACCTGCTTCTGTTTGTCTCATTAATGTTAATCAAAGAACGAAAGAAAATTCTCTTGCTAACTTTAGTTACTTTAATTAGAATAATCATTATTTCATTCATACATTGAAGATTATGCAATGTTATTTAATATTTCATTACTTTATTCAATTTTTGAAGTTTTTCTGAATTTTTCTTTAATTTCTGTATTTCTTACCTGAACCTACCAAAAAATATTGTTTTAAAGATGTTTATTTCATTACTGTTCATTATATTTGTTCTATTGTATTTATTTGTGCTATTGCTGGTAGTTTGTTTATTTATTCTTATTGTATTACTGATTGTTTACTTGTTTTTTAAAATGTTTGACTTGTATATTAGTTAGGCAAATAGTTTACAGGTGCTGGTCAACGAATTAGAATTATTTTAAATAGTGCAATCATGAAATTCTTTGAATGCATTTTTTGTGCAGAAAGCAAATCAGGTGTTCACCGCACCTGTCCTACTCGTTAGACTAATCACAGAACTCGTTATCTGGAAAAAAATTTGCTCAGCTGAGCTTTCCAAAAGGCCCATTTAGGCCATTTAACTGTGACACTGTTGTTTTATTGAATTAGAATAATGGTGAAAGCGTTTCATTGAATTGCAATAATTTTTATTAAAATTACAATCATCACTTTCTCAGTATTTTGTGGCTGCCCCTTTGGCTTGTATGACTGCCTGAAGTCTCCGCGGCATCGATTTGACCAGCTTGTCGCAAGTTTCCGCACTCACAGCTTCCCAGGCAGTGGCGATGTTCTGCTTCAGTTGGTCCAGCGTAGTAGGCTTTCTGTCGCGAATTTTCCGCTTGACGATGGCCCAAAGGCTTTCAATGACATTGAGGTCAGGCGAGTTGGCCGGCCATGCCAAAACTTCAAGCTGTTTTTTAGTGAACCAATCTTTGGTCGACTTTGCCGCATGAGCCGGTGCAAGATCCTGTTGAAATATGAAGTCTTCTTCGCCAAACTGTTCCTCAACAGTCGGAATCAGGAACGTTTCCAGAACATCTTGATATACGGCAGCATTGACAGTCTTCTTGAGGAAGCAGAGTTTCCCTACACCTCGAGCGGACATGCATCCCCAGACCATAACGCTCTGGGGAAACTTGACGGATCTTTTCACGCACTCGTGGTTGTAGGTTTCGCCACCACGACGCCAGACACGAGGACCTTGGTCACCGAAGGAGATGCAGAAGCGTGATTCGTCACTGAAGACCACTTTCTGCCAGTCTTCAGCAGTCCACTCGCCGTGTTCTTTGGCCCACTTCAGCCGTTTCACCATTTGTTTCTTGTTCAGCATCGGTTTTACTGCTGGAACGCGAGATTTGAAGCCGAGTTCGCGCAGACGACGGTAAGTGGTTGATCTGGAGACGTCAGCGCCGGTCTGCTTGTTCCACAAGTCGGTGAGCTCGGAAGTGGACTTGAACCGGTTGCTGACTGCGATCTTTCTCAGCTGCTTGTTGTCGCGAGCAGAAGTTTTTCGGACGCCGGAACAGTTGGTGCGCTTGCTGCAGTTTTTCTTGAGAGCTTTGCAGACGGAAGACTGGCTGATGCCGAGCTGCTCAGCAATTTTAGTTTGGGTCAAGCCTTGTTGGCGAAGGGCTTGAATTTGAGCCACTATTCCGGTTGAGAGGTCGCGCTGCTTACCCATGATTGATTTTACAACTTAGAAATTCTACTCAACCCTGACTTTATACTGCACAGTGAACACTCTTCACAGAAAACAAAAATTTGAGCATTTATTCTAATTCAATGAAACGCTTTCACCATTATTCTAATTCAATAAAACAACAGTGTCACAGTTAAATGGCCTAAATGGGCCTTTTGGAAAGCTCAGCTGAGCAAATTTTTTTCCAGATAACGAGTTCTGTGATTAGTCTAACGAGTAGGACAGGTGCGGTGAACACCTGATTTGCTTTCTGCACAAAAAATGCATTCAAAGAATTTCATGATTGCACTATTTAAAATAATTCTAATTCGTTGACCAGCACCTGTATGTTGTGGTATAAAATTGGAACCGAGAATGGTGAGAAAAATGTGACTGCAACCTTATTTATTAAAATACAAGACAACTTCCATTTAATAGAGACATCAATAGCGGTTTTGCTGTCTGTTATATTAGCCTTCATTCATAGTACTTATATAAAAATATTATATTTCTTTGTTCAATGTCATCTTTTTCAACATATTATGTAACACTAGCTAATGGATGACGGGAAAAAATGGATGCTGCGTTAATTGCGTGTAATATATTATTAACGCGTTAAACTGAAAAAATAAATAAGCCAGTGCGTTAATGCATTCATTTTGACAGCCCTAATAAATATGTTTTAAATAGAATAAAATATTTAAAATATATACCCTCTTTATGTTATTTCTACATTAATTTGGAGATTCAATGTGAAATGATGTATTACAAAATAAAAAATATATTACAAATTTGAATGTTAGGTGTGATAAATGTGCAACAGTCTCAGTAGCTAACATGTCTTTGTATTGACATGTGAACACACACTAGCAGTTAGGGATATGCAAAACTACTATTTTAAATAAATATGGGTTATCTGAATGGCCAATCGATTAGTCAGCCTTAAGGAAGCTCTTCACAATTGGGTTCTACCAGAGCCAGATTATATGCATTTTTAAGTAGGGCATTCAGACTGGACATGTTATTGTGCTCAGAAACAATTGGCTAATATTTGTCATTTTGATATTTAGCCAATTCACAGAAATCGAGCACACATTTCAAATGTATGCATATATGTTTTTGTATTTATTCAGTCAAACCCACCCTTTGTCACTGGACTGGGACTCCTTCACTGGTTTCGCAGGGGCTTTCTCTTTCTTCTTCAAGAACTCTTTCAGCTTTTCAGCCCGGTCTAAATATTCGGCACATTTGGCCCGGATACTTTGTTTGGCCTTATCACCCTGTGCTTCATCTTTGTAAAAATAATTATTAAAAAAATAAAAAATAAAGAGTTAAAGATATAGAAAGCCTTCCCTGTTGTGATGTATTCTGCTTATACATACTGATAAATTAGAATGTGCAACTATAAAGCAACAATCAAACTATTACAGTCTGGATAAAAACAAATAATATGACAGGAATAATATAGTTTTTCCGTAGCTAAAATCATTATTCTTGATGGATGATATAAACAAATTTGTGATGCATACTTACATTTGACAACATGTAGGAAATATTGAACAGCATGCTGATATAAACGCAGGGCCTCATCATAGTTTTCGGCCTTATCCTCCTGAGATGCCTTACTGGCCAGATCTATAGCTTTCTGTGTGGTAAATATCATAGTATTGTTAATTAATGCAGTTTTATTGTCTTAACATTGACTGTATGGGGGATTTCAATCATGATTATATGCAAGCAAATAAATTAGACACTTCAGCAAACCCTCACAACGAAAATGAAGGATGTGGCATCAGTCCTCTATATGCTTAGAAGTTCACCACAACAATGAGCCTAAAAATAATAGGCGTATTCATAAACATAAAACTAAATTTAGATCTAAACTTCACACAAGACAATGGTCAAACCCAACCGTATCGTTAAGCTCATCTGATCTTAACCTGACTTATTTACGTTCAAAATGCCATTTATAATCTCACGTACAATCAATTAAGCCTGATTACGACCCTGACAGGTTTGTTAGTAAGTTATATAAATTTAACAAGTAAAAGAAAACACTATGGGTTCTGGTATAAGAGATGAGCGATCATTTCTCCATGTTGTTTACTACAAAGTCATTGCATTCAAACGTATGAATTTACAAATTGCTCAAGACTTAAGTATTGATCTTAATTAAATCCGTAAGTTAACATTCTTGCTGTCAGTTGAAAAAGTATGAGCTAATTTGTTTGCTAACTTACCTGTAAGTTGTTGTTGGCAGCCATAGTGGCTGAAAAAAATCAAGAACGTACGACGTGTTTCGGAAATATAAAGACAGTGTTATATTAACTGTCACAGACACGATTTAACAAACAAACAACAAGGATTGTAGATTTATGATTTTTTAGTGCTTAGTTTTGAGATCGTTGAATAACAGAGGAAAAAACAACTTCCGCATTAAAATGTCGAATGTCACTTCCGCCTCCTCGCTCACGTGTTCCAGAAATGTCATGCGTCATACGTGTAAGACAAGCCTCTTTGGCGCGCCCTGGAAAAATGCCTTTGGTTTCAGGAACACAAAAATAAAGGAGTAATTCTTACGTAATAGAAGTATTGTGGGTAAAAACAAAAGGATTCTCTCAAGCTGATGCCACCAAACATAAGAAGTGTAACTGCCTGACCTGCCTGTATATAAGATTGTGTACAAATCATCTGCAACCATTTGATTGTAAGCTATTGAATATACAATGTTACAATGATTACAGTTACTTGAAACCAATTAATTGGGGAGACTGAGACTAGGGAATCTATAATCTATGGGCTTTCTGAGCAACTATACGGTTTATAGTCAAAGGTCCAAATCATAGACTGTAAAAGGTCCAAATGCTTGTTTTCTTTAGTGGTTTTGTGTTGATGCTGGTTTCAAGCACTTGATATTCTTGATTTGTTTTCTTTCTAATATCTATTGGGTAAATAAGTGAACACAATAAAACCACACTGACTAATTTTGTATGTCAGATTTTCAAACATCAGAACAGAAGATATTATTTTTAATCCAATTTAATAATTTAATGTTTGCCAAAAAAAATATATTAATATTTGTTTTGCATTACATTACATTAATTTTAATTAATTATGCCACAGGCATTTTTTCCCTCAACTGATTGGACACATTTGGTCTCTAGACTATAACAGACTAATGACCAGTTAATGACCAGTTCCCATGTGAACACTTACCCCGCATAGTGGTCAATGTAAACTATATTTCCCAGCCCACTCTGAGAAGTGTGATAACTAACTCCAGTCTCAACACTATTATTATATTGGCTTCTGTACTAGAAATCTGAACATTCACAGCTACACAGAAAGGCCAGTGTGTTACTATAGTGATATAGCTACCAAAAGACTGAAGTCATCAGCAAGATAACTGAGCTATAAACAAGTGTTGCTATTGTCAAACTGAAAGGTTACCTACTATCATGAGCCATAACATTGCTTACACATTGTCAGGTATTATATTGCAATATGACAGGCTAGTAATAATATAAATATATTACGCTTGTTTCTTTTAGAATCATGTTGTGACATATAACAAAAAGGCACCACAGTAAATGAAAAAAAAAAGAGTTATGGAACAGACAATAAATACAATGTAGTATAACCAGACAATGGATATACAAAATGTTGAAAGTATAAAAAGTGTCAGTGGTCCACTGCCTTTATAATAAACATAAAATCAAAGTAGACCCTTTATATTTTCTTAATATGCAATTTCTTAAAGCGATGTTGGGTGACGTCACATCTTGTTGACGTTCGAAGTATTGTCAAACAAAACGGAGGCTAGCTAGACCCTCCCTCCTCCTCATCGCGCACTAACCCCCCAAACCCCACCCCCAAATCCTTCTTGTCGGTGATTGGCTGGAACTGTTTGTTATGTTTCGTGGTGCGGGTTGGCCCAGTTTGTTTTTGTTGCTGTTTGTGGAGCCTGGGGTGTCTGCAGAGACTGCGGTTTTTTACAGTGTGTTCAGGGGACAGGCAGCTAGCGGATAGCGAGGAGATGTTTGCTGTATGTGACAAAAAATGTTTTGGCCTTATTGCACATGATTCATCGATGCACAAAATAAAAAAAATAAAAAAATGCTTGTCTCCAAAACTTGACATCACCAAGCCTTCTTAATTTTCATTCGGTCCCCTTAAAACACCAGTGCAATCGGATGTAAACAACATTTAATTTTCACTTTAAAATAACTGTAGTGAGATAATATTGGTAGCTGAGAAATATTAAATATCAGCAAATTTAGAGAATGGTCCATCAAGGTTTTTATGAACAGTTTAGCACGAAAAAGAAAAATAAGCATGATGGTCCACCTCTAAATCTGACCATCAGCAGATGGTAAGCAGATCCTGCGAAAATACACAATTGAGATTTTACGTATTCATATGAATTAAGGTGCTGTCACACTGAGCGATGCAAAATCCAGTCTTTTAAATAGGAATCAATGCAATTTGCAATTTAGAGTGTGAGAGTGGAAGATTCACCCGCACAGATTTTGTTGGTCATGTGGATTCGCCCTGTCAACCAACAGACAGCTGCTTGGTTTGAAAGTTACTTCTGTGTAAGCTGTGCTTTATACCAACTGAAAACATAGCTAATTTTCACACAAAATGTTGCTAATGTTACTGTACCTTTAGCCACCAAATACTCCAATACTCAGGGGCCAATACTCATACATTGGCCCCTCCAGGTCCCTGAAAACCCACCCATATCCCACAACCTGGAGCCATGGCTGAGTTTCAATATCTGTTATAATCTATGATACTGCTGTCAGATCTGGTGACATATGGGTAATTAGGATAGCAAAGACTAAACTTTTTACTTGCAAAAGAACCAGACCTAAAAAAAAAAAAAGCCAACACCCTGAAAATAAACTAAAACAACAAAAATACCCCATGGTGAAAAAGCATGTAATGCGTCACTGCCTAATGGCAGAACAACCACCTCACTTGCCTTCCAGACACTACATTTTTACATTAGAAAATAAATTAAATGACCAGACCTTTAGATCAAGATGTCAAGGTTTTGCTGATTAGCATGCCGTCATCAGCTCTAACAGCTCATCTGCCATAACTACACCTTCTGACTGCAATAAGCATTTTTTTATTTATTTACGAGCATTCAACATTATCTGTTGTGTTCTGCTGAAATAAAATGTTTTACAAACACACTACCACATTGCACTTACTCGTAGTGTTTTAAGAGACTTGGCACATAATGCAATAATGCCCCAAAAATATAGGCTACTTACAAGCAAAACCACAGGATGCCATGGCATACCTGGCAGAAGCACCTCTCTCTGCAACTGAATCTAAGACTAAGCAACAGACCACGGTCAGGATACAAAGTAAGACTCCTACCTGCTCATTACTACCGGAGACCCCCAGGGCTCTGTCCTGAGTCCACTGCTGTTTATCTTTCTAACACACAAATATCACACAATCACATAATTTAATTTGCAGACCATTTCAGTTCACAGAGAATACGGTGAGACCCCTCTCCTGCTGTCAGTAAAACAAAAAAAGATTAGAGACTGAGGTCAAAGGTCAAAGCAGTTCACAACCCCGTCAAAGCAAAGTCAACTTCAAATATTTAAAAAATAATAATATAATACATATAATATACAGTGATCTCTAACCCCGCTACATTTTGGCTTCCAGGAACAGTAAATGAGAAAAGGAAATGTTGCTAGTTGGATTCAAACTCACACCACCCTTAAAGGGATACTCCACTTTTTTTGGAAATAGGCTCATTTTACAACTCCCCCAGAGTTAAACTGTTGAGTTTTACCGTTTTTGAATCCATTCAGCCGATCTCCGGTTCTGGCGGTACCACTTTTAGCATAGCTTAGCATACATCATTGAAGTGGACAAGACCATTAGCATTTCTAAAAATTACGCTATTACGCAGGAATGAGAGTATGGTTCCTAGCCATATCAGCCTAGAAAATCGCAACTTTACATTTTCCGTCGGTCTTAGTGCACGATGTAACTACAGAAGAGTCAAGGTTTAAATAGGAAAAATATATAGGAATAATTTTTTTTTTAGAAATGCTAATGGTCTTGTCCACTTCAATGATGTATGCTAAGCTATGCTAAAAGTGGTACCGCCAGAACCGGAGATCGGCTGAATGGATTCAAAAACGGTAAAAACTCAACAGTTTAACTCTGGGGGAGTTGTAAAATGAGCCTATTTCCAAAAAAAGTGGAGTATCCCTTTAAGTGAGCACAGCATAATGTGTTGGAGCTCTTGCACTACCATTAGGCCATGTCTATAATGTTCCATTTGATTTGAAACTACTTTAGTGTGTCCAGTGGTTTTGCAGACCACATATCGTTTTCCCTTCAGCATTTTATTTACTTAGCTTAATTTTCCCACTGCATGTTTTTCAGTCCATGATACAGAATGATGCTGCCACCATGCTTCAATGCACTGTTAGTGTTCTCAAAGTGGTTTAAATTGTTGGTCAAAATGTGTTTTTTACTATTTGACCAAAGATGTGTTAGTGTCCAGTATTTGTTATTAAACAGGAGACAGGCAGTTTATCAAGACTGTACATAACAAGGAAACATCACACATTTCTAAACGATCATGTCTTCCAGCATGATCTTTCGGAATTTCTAAGTTGTCACACAATAAAGTGTGACTGCTTGGACATATTCATAAATACACAAAGAGACAATTTGATAGTAACCTCTTTGTTATCAAGATAGACTTGGAGCTCTTCTGCTCTGTCGAGATACTGCTTACACTTATCTCTGATCTTCTGATTCCCCTCCTTACCCTGTGGTTCACCTGAATGTATGGAAAACAATGGGTTAAATTAGCAAGAAAATGACAAGACACCATTGTAAACTGTATATATTATGCACTCACGTTTTACTACATGCAGAAAATATTTCACTGCATGTTGATAAGATTTAACAGCCTCCTCATAATTTCCATCCTGGTCCTCCTGTGAAGCTTTGTTGGCTACAGCTATAGCTTTCTGTGAAATGAAGCATGTATTATATTAACTTCGATTTACTCATTATAGTTACACCTGACTTTTATACATTTAAGACATTTTTGAGACACATAATCACAAGGTGAGTAAGATCTGTATGTACATCTTGCAGAGATTTTAAAGTGAGTACATAAATAAAGCATCACTACACAGCATGTAGTTTAATATTTAAATATGAATAAATAATGCAACAATTATGTAACTGTTAGCATGGTTGTGTTGAGTCAATCAATAATATGAAGTGATTTGTGACTAGAAGTACAAATATATCAGTGACACTTAACTTTAATAGATATTAAAATGATAATGAATCTGATAAGGCACATAATTGAATAATAATGAATTCAGATTATCATGATTCTTATAGAGATTCAGAATATTAGCCCACTGATTCTTGAGAGTCGGGACAAAACATGTCCCACAAAGAAAAGTCTAATTTATAGCAAAAATTAAGAAATTCATCATGTATGACATACTTACAAGGTTAAATCTAAAGGAATTGTATATACCTATCTGATTTTTAGAATAAACTTTTTTATCTTTTTGGGGAAAAGTTGTTAAAATGTATGGTCTGTGGTTAGATGGTCCATGTTATTGCACTTGTCCTCAGCAAGAGGTTACAATATTAACCATCCCAAAAAACTTTTAAAAAGCTCTACAATTGTGAAAACATATATATCAAATAAAAAATAAGGGGTATAAATATAAAAAACAATGCATTAAGTGAACATCAAACAATATTTTCCATAAATATCTGCCTATTAAAGTTGTGTCCTCAGTTTCTGTCAACTCCATCAGATTTTTTCATAAAGCTCTTTAAATCAGGAAATAGCATGGTCAGCTATATCCTTGAGGACCCCTTTTCATCTCCCTGTCTGTGGTGAATGCAGCACTACCACACATGCTCTGGTACGTTTTACATTTTTTTATATTTTAGACAAACAATGTCAATATTCCTATGGTCACAGCTGCACCATGTCAATACCATCTTTCTGTTAAGATACTTTTTTTAAACCATAGTGGATTGAATTTAAGCATTTTAGTGAGGTTATTGGGACAGCTAGCAACTGAGGAAAAACTACCTAGATGCAGTGTACAATACATGTTTTGGCGGGAAAATACATGCCCTTACGTCAACTCCGTCAGACGTCAACTCCGTCAGGTTCTATGTCTGACGGAGTTGACCTGTAAGCTGACGGAGTTGACAAATCCACCAATAACCTCTTAATGTGCGAATATAATATTATTTGTGAATATAGTGAAGGGTTAAACTGTTATTTCAGGGTTTTATTTGCACATAAATGCACATACATAGCATGCATTACATTATTTAACCATACGCATGTCCGACGCCTGCTGCTCAAGGCATAAGCGCAGGTTAGACAAAAATGAAATCTTAAGTAAGCTAATTGAACCTGATTCTAAGCTACAGATTATGTGTTGCAGTATTGTTGTCAAGGAATGTCAATTTAAGATCACACCCAGTATAAAGTAGGCAGTGCAGGGCAATCACACATCCAACACACCCAAACACACACATATGCACACGCCACTTTAAAGTAAATGACTACTTACAAAGGAGGAAAGGAAGAGGAGAAGAGATGGATGAGAAAAAGTAGAGCAGGAAGTGGTATAGGGGAGGTAGATGAAAACAGAGGGGGAGGAGGGCCCCTGGTTTCACTTATTGTTTTGTTTTTTTTAAAGTTGGAAACGGTGTAATTTATAATAGTTGGAAACGGTGTATGTGCTTATAGTTTGCTTTACAGTAAGTTCAATACTCTAATAACAAGGAGTAGTTTTAGTAGTAGTTTAAAGAGCACATCTGTTCAATAATCACAATGCACACATATTCTTTGTCAACACCGTCAGTTTTACATCAACACCGTCAGATCTTCATCAACACCGTCAGTTTTTCATCAACACCGTCAGATCTTCATCAACAGCGTTGGATGTATGTTTTTGTTTTTGTAAATTGTTTGGGGGGAAAAATTTTCTTCCTTCAGTTTATGTTGTTTTTGTAATAAAGGACCATCTGATCTACATCATCTTATGTTTTATTTATTTAAGGAATTTGTTTTTACAATATTGAAATTAAAATCAAAGTTTGGAAATGCAAATATTTAGAAATCTGAGTTTTCAGAATAGTGTGAAATCACAACTTAAGTTTATATATTGTATTTTTTTTACATATCAGAGTAACTAAACACTATTACAATATACTTCAGAAATTTAGATTCTTTTCGGATTGGAAGAATTAAAATTGTATACTTTTTAGTGTGTCTGACAGAGTTGACACAAATCCAGTTCTGAAGGGAAACATGCTTATTTGTTAAAAATGTGTTTTTAATTTTGAACCTGTTCCTTTACAAGGTTAAATAGCTAAGACCTTTCTCTGCAGAAACATACCAACTCTAATTGATATAGTGTGTATTTTTTTAAAAGTTTTTTAAAACGTGTTTTGTCCCGACTCTCAAGAATCAGTGAGCCTATTTATTTAAAAATCTAAAATGTAACAAAAATGTCTAGTGATATATAATGTGGCTTTTGACATCATTATCTTGAATATCATATAATATGACTATTAATAAATGTGCCTGTGTAATGATTTGTTAGATGAAAATCAACCACACGAATAGGCTATGTTAAATGCACCAGTGAATATGGCAACGGTCTGCTCTTTATAAAAGTTTCCTTTCGGGGGATGAGTGACGTCTTGAAAATCCTTTTCAGGTAATCGTCACACTTCAACGGCAAAATTGTTCCTGGACTGATAATATCATCGATATGTCAATAATATCCGGTGTTAGTATGGTCGCCGCTCAAAAACTATAAAGCTGCCTGCCTGCCTTTGCCAGCAATTTGAAGGCATCCTATGAGCTTTCGAAACCACTAACAGATACTTGCTGTCTAAGCAGGCAGCTCACTAGGTTTTGAAACATAACCACTGTCATTACGTTGACCTGCGTACTCAAAGATAACTTAAATCACTCCAACTTCATTCTTTAAAATGGTTGCGAGAGTGGTCAATGTGAAAGTGGTTTCTATACTTTTACGAAGAAAATGATTACGGCATTTAAACATTACAAACCATAACACTTGGTGAATTCACATTGCCATCACATTTATTGGTGATTTCTGAATGTTTATATTTACCTGTAAATTTGTAGGCTCCATGTCACGCTGATTTGTTGTGTGTCAAATCGGTCACTGCTAAGTTTCGGTAGTTTGTCGGCGTTGACTGTATCGAGTTTGTTGACACCCACTCGACTCATAGATCAGGCATGATAATGATTGAGGGACAACACGAGAAACAGCGCCCTCTACATTTCTCACACTCAGAAATATACAATGATTTGTTTGCTAGTTCATACTAGAATGAATGTTGTTTGTTTATCTGTTGATTAATAAGTACAAATTGGTGTAACAGATACTCAAATAATAAACTAGATAGGCTACTACAAAATATAAGATAAGATATTTTGTATTAAAATTGGCTGTATTATTTTTTATTATTAGTTACAAAAATTAGAATTTTGGTGGTGTTCGCATGAAAATCATTTCTGTCATGACAACTCTCTAAATGTTTGGTAATGGTAATGGATATGACAATGTTGATATGTTTCGTCTTGGTGGAATAGATCTGCTATGCTGCTGCAGAACAACTTGCTACTGCCAATACACAACACACTGCTGTGAGCAAGACATGCTGCTGCTGTACAATATAGCGTACATGAATTACACCATTGCAGATACAGGTGGAGCTGGGGAAGGTGGAGGGTTCCTGAAAGTGCGCTGCAACTGCTACAGCAAACGCTGCCCGAGTATTTGAAGGTTGAGCAGCGAGCTCATTGGCTATGAAACAGCAGGAACCAATCAGCTGTGCCCTATAGGGATAGATGTGATTGCAAACGGATTGAGTTAAGGACATATATTAGCCTGCGCCATTTAGAGTTTCATGACAGAACTTGTTTGTAAACACAACCATAAAAATCTTAACCCTTAAAACAGGCCTTTTTTATTCATATAATTTAATTTAAGTATTTTAAGTAATTTTCCCCATGCATTGTAAACAGTGTAATTATATGAATTTGTTGTTCAGGGGAGGTCATCAGAACTTTGCGAGCCAAAGAATCTAAGGGTTGCTGACTGCTGCAGTTGTGAGTTATCAGTGTCGTGTGCTGTGAGTTGCCCTCGTGAAGTCAACAAAAAGTTCTTTTGTTTTGGTGCCTACATTGCTGGTTCTGTTTTGCAGGCTAAATTGTTGCACACTTTTTTCACAATGTTGCACTTCTTCATGCATCATTTTCACAGACCAACAATTCATATGGCAAAATGGCAGAGATGTATTTAAAAGATATGCCATATATATTTTTTTATAGTTTTATAAATTGAAAATATATTTTTATTTCAAAATATAAACACCAAAATATATATCATAATATATATTCAAGAGATAAGAAAAAAACCTTTTGCAATATTTGAAATTAATTTAGTAAGGTTAGATAATGTAGGCCTGGTTTCATAAACAGGGCTTAGATTAAGTCAAGATTAAGGGCATTTAAGTAGATTTTATAAACATGCCCTAATAAAAAACATTACTGGTGTGCATCTTGAGACAAAACAATGGCACTTTTAAGATATGTAAGTGCAATTTGCTTTCAGTTAAAACAGCTCAAACATGCATTTTAGTCTGGGACTAGTTTCAACCATGTCTGTGAAACCGGGGTTTAATTTGATACAACTGAAAATGAAGAGATATATGTACAGTCTGGCCAATAGGTGCCACTGTTGATCAGCTGATGAAACATTGAAACTAACTTTCCAAAACAGAAAGTCAACTGCAAGGCTACTAGCAGAAAACGAAACTTATAGCACCCAAAATCACAAGCACCTCATAATAAGTTTGTGTTGAAACAAAGAAAGTTCTTAAAGCTTAGATGTCATTCAGAGGGGGGATTAATTCAGTAAATGAATTTTAAGAAGCCATTTTGTTTATGGTTGAAAGGGTGGTCTGTGTTAAAATGACAAAACTGCAAGACAACTCACAAATTTCTACAAGAAGAAAAAAATGACTATGTCACAGACATAGCCTAACTAAACAGAATTTAATATCAAGTCCTCCAAGGGGGGAAATATGGGACATCTTACAGTGGCTACAGCACAGTACTGCAGTGGCACTTGTCCAAGATGACCTGAAAAACTATGCGGAGTATTTAACACAACATATAACAGATAAATGTGAACAGACATAATGGAAACAAAGCATCTTGCACTTAGGCATCTGGCTGTGAACCTAAGATTCCACAGCGGAGAGTAAGTGGAGAGGAATTACATTTTCTGCTAGAATTACATTTTCTGTTTCTGTTAAATATGTAACTAGGAAAAAAGGACAAATGCAAATGAGGCATTTTTACTTGAATAAAGTTTTTGAGTTTAATTTTAGAGTCACTAATTAACTAATTAGTGGAAGCAGTGGTGAAATTCCCAGTATGAAATACTATTGATCAATTCATTTTTTTTTTTTTCACTCTTAGAAGAAATGTAGAACCTTTAAGGGGATTGTGTCAGGCACTTCATAGAACATTTTAGGGGTTCCCATCATGGGATCATGTTATGAATTTAGTGCTAATTATTTATTTTGTTTTAATTCATATTATGCAGTAATATACTTAAATAGAAACTTTTTGGCATCTTTAAAATTGAGTCAAGAACTCTATAGGTTCTATATAAAACCCAATCAAACCTTTTTTTAAGAGTGTATATTTCTCAAGCAGAGTCAATCATTTGAAGAGAGGAGCATATTATAGCTTTCCTTTGTTTAGAATTAATTACAAAACAGACACTCAACTTGTGGCCACCAGGCAGTGGAGGATGTGGAGAAGGCATTTGATAATCCAATAAATATGGTTTTGCATAACCACAACCAAAATCCAATGCAAAGTGATACACATCTTCTCATAACAGTCACACAAAAAATAATAATAATATCATAGTTAACCAGGGGTGTCTAAACACGGTCATGGAGGGCTACTGTCCAGCAGAGTTTAGCTCCAACTTGGCTCAGCACACCTGCCTGGAAGTTTCCAGTATGCCTAATAAGACCAGAGATGATCTTATTGGGAGATCCGAGGGTCTATGGCTCTACCATTGGAAAAAGCATAACGGCTACCTTGGATCATGTGAGCCTTGATAACCAATCACATTACAGCCTTGACGCCATTTCGTTCAGAGTTGTACGACAGTCAATAACTGTTTGCGGATACCATATAAAACACCTTTTTTTGGGTGTAAATTAGATCAATCCAAAAAAAAATTTTTAAGAGCAAACATGTTGATGATTAGCTGATGGGCTGTCGATTCATTAAATGATAAGCTTTTTCCTCACAAAAGCGGTTTATTCAGCCTCTCCTCCATTGACATCTATTAAAAAATGGCCTCTTGTCTCCTTCCCTGCATACTGCAGCGTTAGCAGGCGTTACACTTTTTACAACTAAGATTGCAGGCTTGCCTTCAAGTGGCTTTGGTAAGACCTTGATTAGCTGGTTCTAGTGTGTTTATTTGGGGTTGGAGCTGAACTCTGCAGGACACTGGCCCTCCAGGAGCAGGATCTGAACAGAGTTTGAGGAGATGATGGAACGTCTGCAGTACGAAGGTTTTGGCTGTTTCAGGTCAGGAAGCATCAGCTCATCTGCATGATTTGGCACTAGAGCCGCAGGGTCCCTGTCACATGGTTTATCCTCCAGGCTCCAGCCAGTGTCTGTCCAGCTGTTTGCTGTCCAGAGGAAAGCACAGACCTCCACGGGGTCAAGAGCGTAGGATAATAGTTTCAATAGCATTTACAAGTAACTAAACTGTCTATATCTGTCACGTTCAGTTGGGGTTTTAGTTCTACCAGAAAGACTCGGGAGAATAAATACTGTACAATAAATACATTTATTAATAGCCCAGCAAGCAATAAAGTTCTTTGGCGTAGGCCCCGTCCATAGCTCGCAATCCGAGGGTCCGGACTCTGCATTTCCTGCCTGAAGACGAAGGCAGGGGCGCAGCCGACCCCCTGTGAGGTATAGGAAGGGACCATCCTGGTGGTGGTGGGGAGGATGGAGGGGAAGGGACCATCCTGGTGGTGGTGGGGAGGATGGAGGTGAATGAAAGCGTCAGCATCTGCGAACTCAAACATGTGTAAGTACTGGTCTTTTATACCGCAAGTATTAGACGCGATTGGATAGATGAGAAGGTAATAAGTGACGTAGCAATTGAGTCTTCCTGACAGAACTTAACGCTAAAGCTTACATTTCAATTTCCTGAAATTTTAGTTTGTATCTCACAATTTCCTGTGTTTCTCTTCGGTTGTCATGGTTGCTAGCTTGTGTTCATTGGTTGTCATGGTTGATCATTATTTCATCCACCTGTTCCTTGTTTAGATCATCAGTGTATACACTCACCGGCCACTTTATTAGGTACCCCATGCTAGTAACGGGTTGGACCCCCTTTTGCCTTCAGAACTGCCTCAATTCTTCGTGGCATAGATTCAACAAGGTGCTGGAAGCATTCCTCAGGGAGTTTGGTCCATATTGACATGATGGCATCACACAGTTGCCGCAGATTTGTCGGCTGCACATCCATGATGCGAATCTCCCGTTCCACCACATCCCAAAGATGCTCTATTGGGTTGAGATCTGGTGACTGTGGAGGCCATTTTAGTACAGTGAACTCATTGTCATGTTCAAGAAACCAATTTGAAATGATTAGAGCTTTGTGACATGGTGGAAGTAGCCATCAGAGGATGGGTACATGGTGGCCATAAAGGGATGGACATGGTCAGAAACAATGCTCAGGTAGGCCGTGGCATTTAAACGATGCCCAATTGGCACTAAGGGGCCTAAAGTGTGCCAGGAAAACATCCCCCACACCATTACACCACCACCACCAGCCTGCACAGTGGTAACAAGGCATGATGGTTCCATGTTCTCATTCTGTTTACGCCAAATTCTGACTCTAACATCTGAATGTCTCAACAGAAATCGAGACTCATCAGACCAGGCAACATTTTTCCAGTCTTCAACTGTTCAATTTTGGTGAGCTCTTGCAAATTGTAGCCTCTTTTTCCTATTTGTAGTGGAGATGAGTGGTACCCGGTGGAGTCTTCTGCTGTTGTAGCCCATCCGCCTCAAGGTTGTGCGTGTTGTGGCTTCACAAATGCTTTGCTGCATACCTCGGTTGTAACGAGTGGTTATTTCAGTCACTGTTGCCCTTCTATCAGCTCGAACCAGTCTGGCCATTCTCCTCTGACCTCTG